CAATGTGAAGTTCTAAGAGAGTTCATTTTGTTTCATTATTTTACCTGGTATTTGATTAAAAGTAAAGTATTATTACTTGCAGTGTGTTATTTTCCCCTTTAAGACTTAAAGATAAACTCAAATAGTCTTTGAACTTGATAGCATTTCAAAGTTTCTGCTCAAATTTATTGATGATAATTAATCTACAATATATCGCAATATATTACAATATTCAAAGTAAAATATTGCAATATATCGCAATATGGTTTTCACTTGCAATACCCAACTCTATAAATTGGCCATATGTTCCCAAAAAACTTCTGTAGTTTACATGTAAACTGACTGACAGGTTACCATTTGTGCCCTAGGGCATTTCGTTATGAACTGTAATTTCTTTCAGTTCTTTGATGATGCCCCGATTTTCCGTATCCCTGGCAGAAGATTTCCAGTAGATATCTACTACACCAAGGCCCCTGAGGCAGACTATTTGGATGCTGCTGTAGTATCTGTGTTACAAATCCATGTCACACAACCCATAGGGGACATTCTAGTCTTCCTAACAGGCCAGGAGGAGATTGAGACAGCCAATGAAATGCTACAGGTATGAACATCACATATCAGTATTGACAATACTGTTGTCTTAGTTAATGTACATCTATTATCATTGCTAAAAAGGAGGACTTTCAACATATAAGAATTTAATTCTGTTTGTAATGCGCCATTTGATTGGATAAAAAATTTACTTTATATCGTATAAATTGGTTTGCTTAGGTCACAATGACTTGTCAAAAACGTATCAATCCGCCTGACGTAACATTTAAATTTTGTACAATTTGAAGTCATTTTTTAAGGGTAATCATCTTTTTTCTTACACTAATTGAATGAAAATTAAATTATAAGGAATGAAGTTAATAGTACCCAATTTATACAGTATAAAGTGGGTTGGAACAGTTTATGCTTTTTAGCCTACCTGAGCCGAAGGCTCAAGTGAGCTTTTCTGATCAAAATTTGTCCGTTGTCTGTCGGCGGCGTCTGCGTCGTTGTTGTCGTAAACTTTTCACATTTTCATCTTCTTCTCCAGAACTACTGGGCCAATTTCAATAAAACTTGGCACAAAGTATCCTTGGGTGAAGGGATTTCAAGTTTGTTCAAATGAAGGGCCACACCCTCCTCCAAGGGGAGATAATTACGAAATAGCAAAAAATTAATGGCATTATTGAAAAATCTCCTTCTCAAGAACCAGTGGGCCAGGAAAGATGAAACTCATGTGGAATTATTGTCAGGTAGTGTAGATTCAAGCTTGTTCAAATCATGACCCCTGGGGATAGGGTGGGGCCACAATGGACAATCAAAGTTTTACATAGGAATATATAGGAAAAATCTTCAAAAATCTTCTTCTCAAGAACAGCAAAGCTATGATTGGTCATATTTATTTGGAAGCATCCTCAAGTGGTGTAGATTCAAATTTGTACAAATCATGACCCCCGGGGGTAGGATGGGGCCACAATGAACGATCAAAGTTTTACATTGGAATATATAGGAAAAATCTTCAAAAATCTTCTTCTCAAGAACAGCAAAGTTATGATTGGTCATATTTATATGGAAGCATCCTCAGGTGGTGTAGATTCAAGTTTGTTCAAATCATGACCCCCGGGGGTAGGGTGGGGCCAAAATGGACGATCAATGTTTAAGGTCAAGATCTAGTAAATAAAAGGAGCCTACAGATTTCTCAAATTTGAGAAATAAATTCCTTTAATGAAGCTTTAGAAGTACAGCTTGGTCAAATATGGTGTTTCGGCGCATAATTTGTAGGTAAACAAGACGAAAAATCATCTTCTAAACTGTCATTTTCATTCAAAAATTAAGAAAATCAGTCATGAATATGGGAGTTTTTTCCATATCAGACAAATTAAATGTATCCAGATTGCCTACAGTCTCTCAGAAAATGGTAATTTGTATGTTCTTAGCCTCTTCTTTAAAATAATATTAAATTGAATATAGGTTTCGGGATTACTTTTCACATGATTTCAAATTGAATTCCAGGAAATACTTTATTTTCTACATAATTCTATTACAGCCGTAAAGTACGGGAAAAAAGAAAGTTTAATTTGATTATGACGTCATAATGGATCTAGCATTTACTAGATCTTGACCTTAACATAGGTGTACATAGGAAAAATCTTCAAAAATCTTCTTCTCAAGAACAGCAAAGCTATGATTGGTCATATTTATTTGGAAGCATCCTCAGGTGGTGTAGATTCAAGTTTGTACAAATCATGACCCCCGGGGGTAGGGTGGGGCCACATTGGACAATGAAAGTTTTACATTGGAATATATAGGAAAAATCTTCAAAAATCTTCTTCTCAAGAACAGCAAAGCTATGATTGGTCATATTTATGTGGAAGCATCCTCAGGTGGTGTAGATTCAAGTTTGTTCAAATCATGACCCCCAGGGGTAGGGTGGGGCCAAAATGGACGATCAATGTTTAACATAGGTGTACATAGGAAAAATCTTCAAAAATCTTCTTCTCAAGAACAGCAAAGCTATGATTGGTCATATTTATGTGGAAGCATCCTCAGGTGGTGTAGATTCAAGTTTGTTCAAATTATGACCCCCAGGGGTAGGGTGGGGCCACAATGGACGATCAAAGTTTTACATAGGAATATATAGGAAAAATCTTCAAAAATCTTCTTCTCAAGAACAGCAAAGCTATGATTGGTCATATTTATGTGGAAGCATCCTCAGGTGGTGTAGATTAAAGTTTGTTTAAATCATGACCCCCGAGGGTAGGGTGGGGCAACAATGTATGATCAAAGTTTTACATAGGAATATTTAGGAAAAATCCTTAAAAATCTCAAGAACAGCAAAGCCACGGTTTGTCATATTTATACGGAAGCATCCTCAGATAGAAGTGTAGATTCAAGTTCGTTCAAATCATGACCCCCCCCCCCCCCCCACTCCCTTTTTAGGGGTAGGTCGGGACCACTTATGCATTTATGCTTTTCAATACTAAACTGATTTTTCCTTTTTTCCTAGCCACAGTGCTCAGGTGAGCGATCTGGCCCTTGGGCCTCTTGTTTATAAACCGCTTTGTGGTTTATAAAGTGTAAACTGACCCAACCCACTTTATACCGTATAAATTGGGTAGCTATAAATTCATTCCTTAAAAAGAAATATTTTATTCAATCTTTGTTACTCCACAAAGTATAACCTTTCCTTTTAAGACATGCATTTAAGAGATGAATTTAATTTTTTAGAATTCATGAGGACACTACGACGCTTCACGCCAACATATTTCATGAAGCGCGTATAAAGGGTTTTTATCACGTCTCAAAATTTTTTGATATGACAAAGTTTACATTCTATTAAAGTCATATATTTAAAAATCTTTGCTAGAAAATCAATACTTTTGATGTTTCAGTGATTCAAAGTTCAATATGCATATTTTGATCGCTGATGTTATGCGCCATTGCTCTGATGTCATAGGTGTCAATCCTGGTCAAGCGAAGTACTTATTGTGTATACAAAAGGGCTCATTTGTTATGCCTGTTAAACCTGTTAGAAAATAATTAAGAGATAATTGGATAATTGACAGCTAGTAAGGTATAATTTATGGCTTTAGGATGCACAAATGTGCACAAGAAAGGTGTAAGGAAGAAATTTTTTTCCACATTTCCTGAACTTGGTCAAGAGATGTTCAGCAAATATGATGGCATTTATCTCCATTCAGAACAATCGTTTATGCCAGATCGATCACAGTTTTTTTTCTGTCCTATAAAATATTTTAAGGAAAGATACCTTTTAAAAAAATAATAAATTACAAACACACCTTTTTTAAAAGTCGCACAGAATCTAGTAGGAATGTTGTGAATTTCATAATGGCATACAGCGCCATTGAAGAAATGTCATAGTACATGATATTCACTGCTGGAACATAAAGAAGATATACAGGATTTATTTATATAAATAATAATTATTATAATTAATTAAAATAATAATGAAGGAGAATTTAAAATTCCCATATTTATAAATGTTTACGAAGTTAAACTTTAGTTATTCGTTCTCTTTAGTCGAAGTCCCGAGTTGTCAACAGCTTCGTCTTCGTTGACCTCTCCAATTGTCGGCATATTTTCTGATTATTTCTCTCTGCTAGATGTTCATACATGAAAGATTGACCGTCCATAACCAAAGAAATATAGTCGATGTCAAATTTTCAACCTGTCGTATCGTGTATTCTATTTATTCAGCGTAAAAATCTATTCAATATGTTTTTCTTACGATAAGCTTTACGAGTTCTATTGACCATTGACATGTATGACGTTTCAGTACCACGTGACCCCTATCTAATAAGTGGAGATTTTTACTTCCAGGACCCTATATTACGGGGTGTTTTATTGTTTAATTATGGCCGTTTTCAACATTATTTCAGCCTGAGGATTAAATGATAATTATATGTTTCAAGAATACAATGAGTGTTTCATTTTAAAGAAATTTAGATACGTGATAAAAACCCTTTAAGCGCTTCATGATAAATATGAAGAGGTGAAGCGTTGTAGTTCATGTACCTCATGAATTCTCAAAAATCAAATTCATCTCTTATATTTACATTATTTTTCTGATGACTTTCCACATATTTTTGTCATTCAACATTCATTTTTGAAAAAAAAAAGTTTGCCCTATTTTTTGACTTCAGTCACATCACAATGGAAATGTTCTTACTCAAACCAAGGTAGTTTATGAGAACATGAACTTTTTCTAATTTGTGAAGAATCTTAAGGAAATATATGCAGATAACGAACAGTATTCAAGCTCAAAAGTCCATTAAACAATACAAAATAGGAGCAGAGCAAACATGGACCTCAAAAACATCAGAGGTGGGAACAGGTGCCGTGCAGGAGTGAGCATTCCCTGCCGACAGGTCACACCCGCCGTGTGCTCCTTGTTATAATCGGGAAATAACGGAAAAATCCAATTCAGTGTGTAAATAATAGCCTAACAATTAGTATGAAAAATGTCAGTCAGCATTTGACTCAATGATAAATTGTATTTGCTGACAAGGACATTGTATCGACCATAAAACTTAAGAAATGATGACTTTAAACAAGACTGCTGATATTCTTGTTTCATCAACATGTTTGTCAATAATTTACCTCATTTTAGAAATTTAGAAGTATATTTGGAATATATTGGAAAAATATTTGGAAATGTAAATATAATTATATATCATTAAATTCCTGAGCTCAATTTGCACTATTTACACAGGAAAGAACCAAGAAACTGGGAAGTAAAATAAAGGAATTAATCATTCTTCCTATCTATGCAAACCTTCCATCTGACATGCAAGCCAAGATATTTGAACCTACTCCTCCAGGTGGAAGAAAGGTATGTACTTTATGTATCAAGATTACTGTAAAAGTACTTATTTTAGAGGTACTTTCATGCTGCTTCTTGTCACCTAATATGTGTACATATAAACACGCTTCATAAAATATGCTGGTGTGAAGCGTTGTAGTATCCTCATGAATTCTCAAAAATTAAATTCATCTCAAATCATATTTTAGCACCTTCATACTGCTTCTTGTCACCTAATATGTGTGCATGCTAATATATTCAATTACTCATGTTCCACTTCTCTGGAACTGCTGTACCAATTTCAAATAATATTATACAGTTATTGACTGGGTATTAGGGCAACATATGATTTGTTGAACCTGAAGGTGAAAATGTTGCCCGAGGCCACAGGCCTCGGGCAACATTTTCACCTTTAGGTCCAACAAATCATATGTTGCCCAAATCCTAGTCTATAACTGTTTTGTTATACCCTTCACTTCAGATAGAACTATTAAAATGAAATCATTTAAACAGATTTAATCAATATATAATCAATTACTTTCTTTGGAAAATTTTGGCTTGATCAATAAAAAAAAAAACAATAGCAGAAAAAGAAAAAATTAATAATAAAATTTTTATATCACAGAAATTATTTATCACAAACACACTCTTTCAAATAGTATATGATATACGACAACTCTTGCAGCTCTAAACTTCGGCTATTTCAGTGTCGCCGATATTGAACGACAATTAATTACTTGTGACATAGCAGTGATGTTGCGGTCTAACAATTCTTATGTTGGACTGGCAGGCCGATCAACAATGAAATTATTAGACCGATGCAATAAACATTTCTTTTGTTGGACTTTTTATTAGTAATAAATATAAAGAAAGATATTTATAAGGGTATAACAATGCCATATAACATCTATTGGTGAAGGGGAACAAATTTTGTGAATTTCATGGTCCCTATCCTCTAGGGCCTGAGGGTTGGGGCTAAAACCATGAAAAATGATGCAATCTTTAAAAACCTTCTTTACTCCTGGACATCAAGCAGTCAAACAGTTTGCATGATTATATAGCTTTTAATAAGCTTGAGACCTCTGTTAAAAATTATGAAATCCATGGCCCCTGGATCAGGGTTTCTGGAGCTGGTTGGGACTCTATTTATAATATAGTGAACATGAGTATATTTAAAAAAAACTCTCTACCCTTATATTTTAACATAAAAACTGACAGCATGGTTATTATGAACAAGGGCGTTTCTTGCAAAATTGTACAATTCATAGCCCCAGATTCAGGAGATATAGTGTTAGGATGGGGCTCTTCATTATATAGTGAAAATGCAGTATTTCTTTGAAAACATTCATCTCTGCTCCTGGGTATATATCAAACAAAGTGCATGCTTATGGTAAAAAGGGTGCTTCTTCCAAAATCATGAATTTCCTGACCTTGGGTTAGGAGTTCTGATGTTAGGGCAGGGCTCTATTGCTTGTAAAGTGAAAATGCACAAATTATTTTTAAAATCCTCTTTCTCCCTACATGTATGTGTAATTAGCAAACAAACTAATGCATGGTTATGATGTGCAAGGGTGTCTCAGAATTTGTGAAATTCATGGCCCCTGGGTCAGAGGCTTTAGGAGGTGTGTTCCCGTGTTGCACACATTTGATAATTAGGTATAGAACAATGGGTCTGGAATATGTTTTGATAGCAATTATAGTCTGATCTCTGTTTGGGATTTACCTGGAATTACCTGTATTTCACCAATGCATCATAATATATATTTAAAAGATTAAAGTTTGAAAATTTAACTTGTTCGATCCAACTGAAGTTGATAAATCAGACAAATATCGTTATCGCAGCCCCCTTTTTTTTTAATTTCATGAAGATAATATGAATGAGTTAGTGAATTCAATCTTAATAAAAAAAAAATTAACTTGCCCAGTCAGTATGATATGAAGGTACATTGTAATTATAGTTTTGATTAGTATTTATGATATTTTTTTATGTTTTGAAAAATTTTTTTTTCTTATTATGAAATTACATAAATAAATCAAAATAGAAAAAAAACTAATGCAAAATCACTCATTTTTCTTCGTATTCTTATCATAGATTTCCTTTTCTCCAAATTCACAACTATGATATACATTATATCAATTACGTAATTATCTTACCTGGACAAATTCCCGTTTTGCACACATTTTTTCAATACCTGAAATTCAAATGTGTGCAAAACGGGAACAAACCGTCTAGTATCAGGGCAGGGTTCTATTCTTTATATAGTAAAAATGCTTTATTTCTTTGAAAATCTTCATCACTACATGTTCATGGGTAATAGGCAGATAAACTTTGTGCATAATTATGTTGAGCATGGGTGCCACTATCATAATTGTGAAATTCCTGGCTTCTGGGTCAGGGGTACAGGTGTTAGGGCTGTGCTGTATTGATTACTTAGTGAAATTTCACTAAAAACCTCTGCTCAGGGTTGTATTATACTCAGGCCTTGAGCCCACTTGTTAGAAAACTGACATTCTGCATTTATATGATAATCTATGAAACTCTCATAAATTAATACTTACAGGTAGTTTTGGCAACAAACATTGCTGAGACTTCTCTTACAATAGATGGAATAAAGTATGTGATTGATCCAGGCTTTTGCAAACAGAACAGCTATAATGCTAGAACAGGAATGGAATCACTCATTGTTACTCCAATATCCAAGGTTACAATTTTTTATTGCACAATCTTACAACTATATTTCTCCAGCAAATTAATTGAAATGAAACTGTTGATTTCACAAAAGATTTGTATTTGTTATACTGAAGTCTAGTGATGTTTCCAGGCCTCATCTAATCAAAGAGCAGGAAGAGCTGGTCGAGTTTCAGCAGGGAAGTGCTTCAGATTATACACAGCATGGGCATACAAACATGAATTAGAAGACAATACTGTGCCAGAAATTCAAAGGACTAACCTGGGAAACGTTGTGTTACTACTGAAGAGTTTGGGAATCAATGACTTAATTCACTTTGATTTCATGGATCCCCCTCCACATGAGACTTTAGTGTTAGCACTGGAGCAGTTGTATGCACTTGGTGCCTTGAACCATCGAGGGGAATTAACTAAACTAGGAAGAAAGATGGCAGAATATCCTGTTGATCCCATGTTGTCTAAATGTATTTTAGCGTCAGAGCAGTAAGTGCATTGATATTCTTAATGATTTAATTGTTTTTTTGTCCACACCTTGTATTTCTTTTAAATATACATCAAATATTTCTTCCATACTTTTTAGCTCATCTGAGCTGAAAGCTCAAGTGAGCTTTTCTGATCACATTTTGTCTGTAGTCCATCTGTCTGTAAACTTTTCGCATTTTCGACTTCTTCTCCAGAACCACAGGGCCAATTTCAACCAAACTTGCCACAAAGCATCCTAGGGTGAAGGGAATTCAAGTTTGTTCAAATGAAGGGCCATGCCCTCTTTCAAGGGGAGATAATAAAGAATTGGTGAAAAATTAATAGCATCTTTTAAAAATCTTCTTCTCAAGAACCACCGGGCCAGGAAAGATAAACTCATGTGGAAGCATCCTCAGGTGGAGTAGATTCAAGTTTGTTCAAATCATGACCCCCGGGGGTAGGGCGGGGCCACAGTGGAGGATCAAAGTTTTACATAGAAATATAAAGGAAAATCTTTAAAAATCTTCTTCTCAAGAACAGCAAAGCAATGATTGGTCATATTTATATGGAAGCATCCTCAGGTAGTGAAGATTCAATTTTGTTCAAATCATGACCCCCGGGGGTAGGGCGGGGCCACAATGGAGGATCAAAGTTTTACATAGAAATATGTAGGAAAAATCTTTAAAAATCTTCTTCTCAAGAACAGCAAAGCAATGATTGGTCATATTTATATGGAAGCATCCTCAGGTAGTGAAGATTCTATTTTGTTCAAATCATGACCCCCAGGGGTAGGGTTGGGCCACAATGGAAGATCAAAGTCTTAAATAGAAATATATGGGAAAATATCTTCTTCTGAAGAACTGCAAAGCCATGATACGTCATTTTGATATGGAAGCATCCTTAGGTAGTGTAAATTCAATTTTGTTAAAATGATGACGCCCGGGGGTATGGTAGGGCCCAATGGGGGATTGAAAATTTTACATAGGAACATATAGGAAAATATCTTCTTCTCAAGAACTGAAAATCATGTTTAGTCATTTTGATATGGAAGCATCCTCAGGTAGTGTAGATTTAAGTTTGTTCAAATGATGACCCCTGGGATAGGGAGGAGCCACAATGGGGGATCAAATTTTTACACAGGAATATATGGGAAAAATTTTTAAAAATCTTTTCAAGTACAACAAAGCCATTTGTTGTATTGACATGGAAGCATCATCAGGTAGTTTAATATTCAAGTCCCCCCCCCCCCCCAGTAATCTTTTCAATATTGAACTGATTTGTGCTTTTGCCTAGCCAGTGTGCTCAAGTGAGCGATGTGGCCCATGGGCCTCTTGTTAATTATGCAGGAGATGAAGGTATATTGCTGCATAAGTAAGGGAAGTTGAGGATTGAAAAGTTAAAGTTAAAGTTAAACGTTTATCATAAAGCTTGGTTGTTAGATTACCATTAACATCTTTTTCTAGTAAAATATCCAAATATGAAACAGATTTGTCAGACAATATGAAACAGGTCTGTCAGACACTGTGGTATCTTTTGTTTCAAGCTCACCGGGATATATCACATCGAGATAAGAATGGAAATAACCATTGTTAATTGACAATACAATTGATATATCTAAATGTTGAGTTGAAGGCCACAGCAAGTGTTTTCTTCTTTTCACTTATAAGATTCTGAACAAATTCTGCTTCATATGAATACAAAATTAGGTCTGCTAATAACTGGGCACAATTGGTACCCATTGGAATTTCATTAGATTGTTGGAAGACCTGGTCTCCAAAAACCGCATAGATATAGTACGATAATCAGAAACTCAAGCATCTTTTTAATATCAACTTCAGAGTACTTGTGTGTACAATCAGAATGTTTTTTAACAAAATAATTTTGCAAATGACCAATGACAAGGTAAGTAAACTTACGAGTTCCATTTTTATTGAAAAATTAGCTGTGGAATGGGAATGGTTGTATATAAAGTTGAAAAGTTGTAAGTTTTTATGTTGTTGAGTTTGGTAAAATTTTGTGATTTCAAATTTTCCAAAAGTTCCATGGAATTTTTAAGTATCCACATCTGATTTACACCACTTCTTGTATATTTTGTTGCACAGTACTCCTGAAGTTTCTCCTTCATTACTGTTAATATTTTAATGAGGAGTAAAGAAAGATCCCATCTCAAAATTTTGAGGTCTGTGTTTGCTCTGCTCCAAATTTTTATCATTTCATTGGACTTTCGAGATTGAATACTGTTCATTATCTTCATATTTCATTGTTTAATTTACATATGGTCTGTCCATAAGTATATTTAGTGTAAAAATTATCTAAACCATGATGCCCTATGTATAATGTCCATTTTTTCAATGGAACTTCAAAGGAGGGGTGCATTATATGTAGAAAAATCACCCTTTTTTCAATGTGCCAAACTTGCTAAAGCTCATGGTTTTCCTCATGTCAAAATATTAATTAATTACAGGCATTTTACAATCATTAAATTATGTTCTATAGATTACATTTAATCATTATAATGGAGGAATTCCAATTTTTCAAATAGCAGAAGAAAAAAAAATCTACATGTAAAAACTACTGGTAATGATTAATTATTGTTTATTGATATTCCAGATACAAGTGTTCCAAAGAAATCTTGACTATTTGTGCCATGTTATCTGTGAACAATGCTGTGTTTTATCGACCAAAAGACAAAGTGGTACATGCAGATACAGCTAGGGTTAACTTCTTTCGCCCTGGGGGTGATCACTTGACTTTGCTAAATGTGTATGATCAATGGGAAGAGACAGCTTTCTCTACTCAGTGGTGTTATGAAAACTTTATTCAACATCGCTCTATGAAAAGGGCAAGAGACATCCGGGACCAACTGGAGGGACTAATGGAAAGGGTAGAGATCGAGGTCAGTTCAAATCCAGGGGACTCAGTGGCCATACGAAAGGTAAGTAGTGTTTCAAATTCTGTACACTCACTCAACACTCAAAAATAAGTGGTTTTTCACATTTTATCAAAGATCTGCTGATGTTTTATGATGACAAGAGAGCAAAAATGTAATTCATTCTTAATGAAATACATATCACATGTACTAAATAGCAATTGGTTGATATGTATTCTATGTACACCGGCCGTTAAAATTTTTTATGATAGGCCATAACAGCAGGATATTTTTACCATACTGCTCGATTAGACAAGGGAGGTAATTATAAGACTGTCAAACATCACCAGACAGTTATGGTTCACCCCAACAGTAGTATGTATGAAGATCGTCCAAAGTGGCTCATCTATCATGAACTAGTGTTTACAACTAAAGAATTCATGAGACAGGTAAGAACTTGCATCAGTACACATAAAGTAGGAAGGGAAAAAATGCTCAGGAATTCAAATTCATGTATATATTTAGTGAACAAAACATATTGCTCAAGCCATACTGCTGCTAATATTTAAAAAATTATTAGATCACTGTATATATACTTTTCTGTTAAGGTGATTGAAATTGAGAATTCTTGGTTACTGGAGGTTGCACCTCATTATTACAAGCAGAAAGAATTGGAAGACACATCAAAGAGGAAAATGCCAAAAGGGGCTGGAAAATCTAGGGAGGAGATGACTAGAACATACTGAAAACTAGACTGGCCTACCTAAAGGACTGTTTGATGCAAAAAATTGCTGAAAATTTAGATTGTAAATACATACTATGATTTTGAGAGAGTGAGAGAGAGAGAGGACATATATTTCTGTTTTCAATGACGAGAGATATTTGCAGGAAAAGCAGAATAAAGAATGAATCTTCATAACACTGCTTTCTCGCCCCTTTTCAAATGCAGAATTTTACCTTTTCAAATCATAACATTGTAATATTATAGTTAAAGTCTTCAAGCATAGTCTGTATAGATACACATGAAAGATTTTTTTGGAAAGAGACTTAAGGTATATACATGATATTGATTAAATAAAATTGTATACTTCACTGTAAAATCCCGGCTTAGCCATTACAGCTATGTAGGTCATTGTATTATTTGAATGAGAAGGCGGAGCGTCTATCAAGCATGCAATTAGTGTGAATACATTAGTGTGTGTTCAAGATGTACTTGTGAATAACTGACCACAGGTGCTTGTGGACAGGACCCCACGCCCACCCCCCCACCCCGAATATACACCCTGGGTCCAAGGATATTTTTATTCGTCTTTTTCCATAAATTAATCTTCTAGTACACATTTATAATGCATTCCATATGAAAAATCCAAAAATAATGTAGAAATAATGTTTTATTAAAAAATCATACCCGCGGTATTTTAACTCTATTCTCTAATACCGCGGATATGATTTTTTAATGTCCACAAGCACCTGTGTAAATGACACGTAAAAACCTTCTTATTTCGTGCTGAGACCGACAAAATATAAGCATAGATTCTTAATTAAATTATTTTGCAGGCTTTTTTCTGCTAAATTTATATTTGAAATGACTTACTAAAAATTCGTTAAAATTATTTATATACATTAAAAATGCAATGGAATCTGTAAACAAAGCTTATAACGCAGGATAAACAATTTTTCATACGTTAAAGAAACCTTATTTTTAAAGAGATAATTAATCCGTTTAAGCTTATTACATTGTATAATTAGAATTTATTTCATAATGTATATATTTTTAAAATGCGAGTGCTACAACAAAAACACGTAGGCGGATGAATTATGATAAAAAACTACACTGTGTGTACAAAAAATAAATAGGTAAGAAAGTGAAAATTAAAACGTTAGTATCATCGCTGGTTGATAATGAAACATATGTGTCAGTGTACTTTATACAGTCCAGATTACATTGCTTTGAACAAAATCCTGTTTATTCATGCCAGACAAATTAATATGATCTTCCTCATTTAGGAATTCAATAATTGTTGAAATTTTGTGGTTTTAACAAACTCTCTCTCTCCTTAGTAAGATAAATGATAATTCACTTCAAGATATTTTTAACGCCCTTTATCATTCGATTGATTTTTTTCACTAAATACGTTGATCGGACATGTGAAAGGGCCATGCAAGTGCATCTTCTTGCTTTTAAACATTATGCTTTAAAAATACCTGAGAACATGGAATTTTTTACATAATCTGCAAAAAAAAATGTTTCTGAGATTTTGTGCCGATGTAAAAAGTTTTGGCATTTGCAGAGTCGTCAGAAGAAACCTGAAGCTTCCCTCTATTCAAATTAGGGGTGCAGTTTGTGCAAATGTATTCATCCAGTGACTTTTTATCCGATATACAGGTCTTTTTAGCGCTCCGTATTTTTCATTTATGCGGAGACAGTCCGTTATGTTCAGAAAATAAGAATGTATTTCAGTGTTATATTCATCTACCAATAATTCTTATAACAGACACTACCAATCTTAGCACACAAAATGCATATATATATATATATATATATATATATATATATATATATATATATATATATATATATATATAAGGAAGACTCATATTGATTTTAAGGTCAAAGTTCAAGGTCGTAAATTCATACATTCCGTCTGTGTGTAACACTTTCGTTTCCGGGCGATATCTCAAGAAGCTTTTGAGCTTTTGCAATAAAATTTTATACCATAACTCCCTATGGCCTCTCTTGCTCCTCTCAAAGTGTCCCGCCCCATTGTCAAAATTTTACACAACAAATGTTGTCTAATTTAGCCTTTACTAAACAGTTCTAATAGATGTAATTAGAATATAAAGTCCGCCGACAACCTGTATTATACGTAATAACTCTCCACATGCCCCGGTGCTAAAAATAGTGCCAAGCGACTTTTAATACAATAAATAAAATAAAAAAAAAAAACGATCAAACGTGAATATAAACATTATATGTGACTGAATGTTTGCATTGAATTTATATAATCAAGTGCGTCCGTGGTCTAGTGGTATGTTGCTCGCTTAGCAAGCGAGAGGCCCGGGTTCAATCTCCGGACGATTCTCTCTCTTTTTTAATGTTTTTTTTTTATTATTAATTTTTTTTTGATTTACCAAATGATACTATTCAACATGTGAAATGAAAAAGTTATGATGTCTGGCGTGTACAAACTCATAAAATCATTATTACAGTGTGATAAATATTCTGTATATATATAGTATATTAAAAAGAATCTTCTATACACATATTAAAGAATAAGCAATCAAATCTTTATATCCATATTGGCTTTTTTTGATTTTCTTCAATATACATGTATACATTTAATAATTCTACAAATACAGGGGGGCAGTGTGACCCCCCCCCCCCGAACTGCGCATGCTCTTCTTTTTTCCCTATGCGGGGGACACAAATTCTCTGAATTAGCTTGTTCGAATTGGGAAGGGTGAGGCAACATAAGAGTATCAAAGTTTTACATGGGAATATAATTATGGAGGAAAATGCTTTAAAATCTTTTCAGGACTATGATTAATTAGTGTTACATGTGTACTAGAAGCATTCATTCATATTGCACATTCAATATTGTTCAAATCACAGCCCCTAGGGGTGGGATCAGGCCACAATAGGGGATCAATATTTTAAAAGGAAATTTTTAAGCATTTGTTTTTTAAATAATAACAGGGCAACAATTCATAAAGAAAATTCCAAAGTTTTGTGAATTCTATTTTTATTTCAAATAATAGATTGGGGAGCAGTTTTTACCTAGTGCATGTTTATTTCTTCTGTAGGACAGCAAGGTCATTTTAATCAATGATATTTAAGCATCCCCAGGATGTGTTGTTTCTAGAAAGGTATTTTTTCAAGTGAAAAAAAAATTAATCTTGCGTTGACTAGCAGGGCCAGTGTGACTCGGGTAAGTGGTGTCGCTCTTGAATTGATCAAAATTGATTTTATACTATCTAAAATTGCATATATGATAATATGAAGAATCATGAGTTCAAGAGTCTAATGCAATGTGATTATTTATATTTATTGTTCCCCGCTTTCACTGAAAGTGGGGGATATTAATTTGGGTCTGTTCGTCCGTCCGTCTGTATTTCTGTCTGTCTGTAACACTTTCGTTTCCGGGGGATATCTCGAGAACCCTTTGAGCTTTTGCAATAGCAATTTTGCATAGCAACTCCCTATGGCCTAAAGAAGAACCCTATTGATTTTGAGGTCAAAAGGTCAAGGTCATAAATTATGTCTGTTTTAACACTTTCGTTTCCGCGCGATATCTCGAGAATCCTTTGAGCTTTTGCAATGAAATTTTACGAAACAACTCCCTGTGGCCTGAGGAAGACCCGTATTGATTTTAAGGTCAAAAGGTCAAAGTTCAAGGTCGTAAATTCATACATTCCGTCTGTGTATAACACTTTAGTTTCTGGGCGATATCTCAAAAAGCTTTTGAGCTTATGAAATTTTATACCATAACTCCCTAGGGCCTCTCTCGCCGCTCTCAAAGTGTCCCGCCTCGTTTTTTTTTTTTTTTTTTAAATATTTATAGTATTAAAAGTGGCTTGGCACTGTTTTTAGCACTGGGACATGTGGAGAGTTATTACGTATAATACAGGTTGTCGACTTTATATTCTTATTACATCTAGTAGAACTGTTTAGTAAAGGCTAAATTAGACACCATGTACATGTATTGTGTAAAATTTTGACAATATCGAACGTGAATATAAACATTATATGTGACCTACTGTTTGCATTTAATTTGCTCTAGAAGCAAGTGTCTCCGTGGTCTAGGGTTGTGACTCTCGCTTAGCATGTGAGAGGTGCCGGGTTCAAATCCCGGTCGATTTTTTTTATTTACTAAATGATAGTAATCAGCATGTGAAATGAAAAATTTATATTTACTAAATGATAGTAATCAGCATGTGAAATGAAAAAGTTATAACGTCTGGCTTGTACAAACTCTGTTGTATAAAATCATTATTACAGTGTGATAAATATTCTATATAAAAAGAATCTTCTATACACATATTAAAGAATAAGCAATCAAATCTTCATATCCACATAGGTATTTTTTATTTGCTTCAATGTACCTATATACATTTAATAATTCTACAAATCCAGGGGGAGGGGAATCCGACCCCCCCCCCCCTCCCGAACTACGCATGCTCTTCTTTTTTTTTCCACCTAGGCGAGGGACACAAATTCTCTGAATAAGCTTGTTCTCATAGTTTCAAGCCATGGTCCAGAGTCCACTCATATCTCTCTCCTCCTCATAATGGGAGAGGATCCTACATTTTGACCGTTCTTTGCGACAATGATTTATTCTTTGTGTTCGTGTTTATACAGTAAATCATTTTTTTTTCAAAATTAAATGATTCAAAATGTGCACATATTCAGTGAAATATATGGAGATAACGAACAGTATTCAAGCTCAAAAGTCAATTAAACAATACAAAATAGGAACAGAGCTCCAAAACATCAGAGGTGGGATCAGGTGCCATGGAGGAGTGAACATTCCCTGCCGACCGGTCACACCGGCTGTGTGCTCCTTGTCATGATCGGGAAATAACGGAAAAATCCGTCGACAATTCAGTTTGTAAATAATGGCCTAACAATTAGTATGAAAAACGTCAGTCAGCATTTGACTCAATGATAAATTGTATTTGCTGACAAGGTCGTTGTATCGACCATAGAACTTACGAAATGATGACTTTAAACGAGACAGCTGATATTCTTGTTTCATCAACTTGTTTGTCAATAATTTACCTCGTTTTAGAAATTGTACATACGTAGAGCATGTTCTTGGGTATCGAATCAACTGAGAGATATAAACCCCATATGCAGGTGATGAAGGTGTTTATTTAATGAAGTGTAAAATAGAATGGAATATTCCCACTGTTGGTAAT